ATTCACCTTTGCACCAACAGAGCCCACCATTATTCTTCCCCCATCTCACATTCATTTCTGCTGTAAAACTGATGTTGAGAGTCACTACACAAAAGGTAGCCTTCAATTGAAAGAATGTAAGGGATTGTTGCGGCTCCTTAGGCTTATCATTTTTATATTCTTTATTTAAGAATGTGTAATGTGCATTCTCAATCTTTAGTTGTTATTAAGTTCATCGTGAGTTAATTATGTTTTGTTAGATATTTGAAGCTTTATGAACAAGTAATCATTTGACTCTGACGAATTATAGATTTGTATCATATTTAAATTTTGTAAGTGTATGTTGCATGTTTAACCCTAGGTGTGATTAACTTAGAATTAGATAATAGTTTTTTAGTTGTAGTCAATTGCTTCCTTAATCGCTTTAGACATAAGGTATTAGAACCAGACAAATTTTACTTAAAATGCAATGGTGTTAATGACGGCATAGACCTTAATGTATTTATAATAAGTCATTTCATATTTTTATTGTTGACAAACACCACAAAATTTATCCTAGCCATAGACAATATGACACCATATGACTTAACAAACATTTGATGAAATCATTAAATGGATCGTTATCTAACAAAGAAAACCCAATTCAAGCTCATTTCATATTATTGCTATTTTTTAGTGTATGCAAATTTGTAATATGTTATTCAATTTTACCATATGTGAATAAGCTCATGAGTTACTTTATTATTTTGAAGTATTAATGAAGTGCTTAAAACATAATCCTAGTGGAATAGATAGCTTTCTTATCACTTGCTACTAGATTGATTATGTATATTTGCAAGTGTTTTAACTGCACCAAATTTTTCATCGGGGATTGTTTGACTTAAATTTGCATTTATTTATTAAAGGCTGGTTTGTTTTGGTTTTTTTTTTTTAAAATAATGTTACTATATAACATAATTTTGTGGAAAAAAATTTACAAAAAATTTTTTCATAAAAACTTCAAATAAAAATTTGATTTGAATAAATATTTTTAAAATGTTATTTTAGATATATTTATATTTTATCGAAAAAAATTTTGGATATACCAAAATTTTAAAAAATTATTTAATTTTGAAACTATTTCAAATAGCTTTTCATAAAAATTATTTTTGAGATACAATTTTTTTAAAAAATTGCAATTTAAACTATGTTTTAATCCTCAATAACGTATGTTTATATTGTATGATGTTAAAATTAATCTTACAATTTAGGAAAAAAACAATATAAAAAAATTTGTAATAATTTTAAAAATAGAAAGAAAAAATCTTTTCTAAAACAAACCGGCCCTAAATCTACTAATTTAATTCATTGGAGTAATTAATTTGTTCTATGATCTTTGTTGAAAGAACAAGTTCATTGATACCTTACATGTGTAGGTTGATTTCACCTAAATACAGAGAAGATTTTGAGCAATAAATAAAATTCATAATCATAAATAGATTTCAACAAGCTCATAATCTATTTGATGAACCCTCCTCCGTAGGCAGAGAAAGTTGAAGAATTAATAGAAGATTAGGAAGAGGAAAAAGGAGACATGGCAAATCAAGACATCGTTGGTATTTTCAATAATAGGGAAAGAAACATATTAGATTATGATGTATTTGATCCTAATTCCATAAAAACTGGGATCATTACTGCTTAGTTTGAGTTTAAACTCATGATGTTTCAAGTGTTGCAAACTATTGGGCAATTCTCTTATGCTACAACCTATGAACCACACTTGCACCTTAAATATTTTTTTGAGGCTGTAAGTAATTTCAAAATTCCTATAATGATTGATGTTTCTTTCATAGTCAGGTTGTTTCTCTAATTTTTAAGGGTCCGCACTAAAAGTTGGTCCAACTCATTGAGCCAAATTCCATTCACATAAAATAATTTAGTTAAACAATTTTGTTACTCCAGTCAATAATGATAAGATGATGAACGTGATTACATCATTTAGATAAGAAGAAGATGAAACTTGTTAGAGGGCATGAAGTTAGTGAATCAACAATATATGTTGCAAGTGCCACAAATTCATAAGATGTAGAAGACCGTGATCACACCACCTCAGTCAATTTCGTGACAAAAACATGAGAAAAGGCTTGTATTTTTTGTGTAATAGACTATTTTTTTAAGATTGTTCTACAAATCATGCCTCAATAAATTATATGGGGAACTACAACAAGAACAATAATTCATATAGTAACACGTACAATCTAGAATAGAGGAATCATCTTAATTTATCATGGGAAAATTCCCAAAATCAATTGAGACCTCAAGAACCACAAATTGATGTGCATTTTGTGCATGTTGTCCGTGTGAAAGTTGTCATTTCTATTAAGATAACATGCTCAAATGCATTTGCTTATATGATGACTGAGAAGAAAAAAAAACGCCATTTGGGCCTTTGAAACGTGACTAATTTGTTGAAATCTCCAAAAATAAACTTTCACGAGGTCATTGTGACTGGCAGGGACAATACTTTGATGAATATCCCCCAAAAAAATTCCCATGTCGACAATATATTTCTAAAAAAATATGTAAAAGCACAGTGTAACTTGAATGTCAAAGTGAAATATTTAATATCTAAGAATAAGAAAAAGATCAACACAACTGAAGTATGGAAAGTTGTAATAGATGCATGGGAAATTATATTGGAGTATGATTCAAAGGAGTATTATAAATTGTATATTTCTCAGAAATTTGTGGAATATTGTAAAAATTTCTCAAATTATGACTAGTGAAGGAGAAAGTATGATCTTGAAATATGATCTTGAAAAGTATTTGATACAAATATAACTTTAAAAAAATGTTGTTTGTGACTTAAAAAATTACATGAACTAGTTAAGGAGAAATTTAATACAAGAGCTGAAGGAGAATGTCGATCTTTTCAAGAGCTAGTGAAGGAGAAATTTAACTTAAAAATAGTATGACAAAAATAGCATCTAGATACACAACCTTCATAGACAACTTCGGCATGCCCAACTAGAAAAGGTGCATGCCATACTAATCAGTCAGCCAATGTTCCCTCGTGTGCAATGCAGCTTCCTAAACCAAGATGTATTGTGTTTTTTTATGCATCAATATTTTGAAAATGTTATTGATAGTCATGGTTAGTATGCCATCATTTGAACCTCATGCCATCATTTGTCTTGATCTTATATGGGAGCTAAGCTAAATAGTAATTGTGAAGATTATCTCTAGTTATTTGAGACGGAGAGTAGATTCAATTAGTCTTGATCTTATATGGGAGCTTAGCTAAATAGTAATTGTGAAGATTATCAAAGTAGATTCAATTAGTCTTGATCTTATATGGGAGCTAAGCTAAATAGTAATTGTGAAGATTATCTCTAGTTATTTAGGACGGAGAGTAGATTCAATTAGATGAAGCACGTTCTTACTTCTAAAAGAGCATGAAAGATTATGTTCCACACTTAATTTTAAAAAATGAAGGCAAATTCTTAGGTATCTATAATAAGTAGTTGGATCCTGATATTTTTAGTAAAAATTAATTTAAAATATTAATTTATTTTTAAATAAAATATATGTAAAATGTGACATGACATTGAATATGAATGTGTTATTGGATGAAGCTATCGATATCCAATTGAATTCAAGGGTACCTAAGTGTTAACCAAAAATGAATGGTCATGCCAAATATGAGATTTTTATTGCAGATAAATATAAAAGTGTCGTGGTGTTCTACTGGACATGTATGTTCTCATAAACATATTTTCTGTTACATTGCGCACCAAAAGAAAACAACACATTTGCCTTGGATGTGTGTTTAACCGTCATTTTATGGAGGTATATTTGTCTCAATTAAAAATTTTCATGCGGGTAAGTTTGTTTCAATTTAAATGTTATTGTTGCTGGTACAGTTTATAACTTTTGATTCATATACATTAAAAGAAATACCTCAGAATACCTTCTACAAGTCCACCGTAGAAAAGAAACCATCAACCAAAAGTATCAAAAAGAAAATGCATATACTTCCGAAAAGGATTAAGTATAACAAATTTGGCATTGCAGAGTAAATATTAGCTAAGATTAACTAAAATGTGTATCATTAAGAAACTAATAGTACTTCAAATATTATAGTGCAACTTTATTGGAAAAAAAAATTATAAAGAATTTTTTTAATAAAACTTCAAATAAAAAATTAATTTAAATGGATATAATTTTAAATATTTTATATTTTAGTATAAATTTTTTTGGATATCAATATTTTAAAAAATCATGAAACTATTTCAAAAAATTTTTCAAAAAAATCATTTTTAAAAAAAAGAAATTTACTATGTTTTTTATCTTCTTTTATCTTCAATAATGTATATGTCATAATATAAGATATCAAATTTAGTCTTTTAGTTTATAAAAAAATTAAAAATATTCATAATATTTTAAAAAACACTTGCAAAAATCATTTTTTTAAAGATAAAACTCAACTTTGGCAAAAAGTGAGACCGCGATTAAATTAATATTATCAAGTCAGCCACATTATCAAATTAAGTCTAATTTCACACCAGAAAAAACGAAGAACCATATTAAAAGTGTTTTCAATGACACTTCTTTGCAGGGGGTTTTTAGTATATTTAAGCATCTGCAAAAGAAATTTGTGTAACTAATTTTAATTCAAGTTTGTTTTCTTTTTTTTTGGTTTGTCACTGTTGTAGTTTCCAACATCAATTCTTCATCCAATCGTTCCAGTTAGTGGCTACTATTAATTAGAGGGTGTGGGTGGGTCTACAAGAGTTGATAATGCAAAATAATGAAGACATATTATCATCAATGGCAACACAAACTGGAAAATAAAAACAGTGAACAAATTGAAACTACTCCAAACACACATAAAATTGAAACTTTACATGTTGCTATCGGTGTGTATCAAAATCCATTAAACAGACGGCTTCCTTGAAGATAATAAATCCAGTAGACAAAAAAAAGAAAATAACATACAGCTGCAATGGGCAATTCAGATGCTGCTCCACCATGTCAAAGATTTAGTGGCCGTATTTCTGAAACTCCCACTCGCTGTTGTCTGTATCATAGCAGAAAAACAAATACATTAAGAAATGCACTTCTATCCATGTTGGTCAAACATTATAGGAGATATGAAAGAAATTATGCATACCTAAAGGACACACTTGACGAGTCTTGAGCCATCTACTGATGCAATGGAAGTGGAAAGCATGGTTACATACCCCTGTATAAGATGTATACCATATCAAGAAATAGTTTGGTCACACATGAGCTAGGCAGAAACTAAATAAACCTTCAAATTTACTCTATAACAATTAAGATGCTTGAATTCAAAGCTTCCAATATTGTCCTCGAGATCAATAGTCTTTAGAGGCTACAAACTTTATTAAAATTCCACCATTGGTTCTAAATTCACAAAAAACCTCATTTGGTAGGAAGTTTCTGGCAGTGGTGAATTTCTGGTCGATGGCCTTTTTCAGCTCTATATAAGTGTTTTGCTGTGCATCAATGATGGGAAAGGCCCAAATAGGATGACAATTCGCACTGCCCATAAAGGGGTTAGCTATCAAAGAAATTTGAACTAGGGAAATCATCCTTTCCTCAATATCCAAAAAAGGGCAGTGAGGAAAAGGTTAGAATAAAAAGAACCCTTGAGACCCACAACTTCTCATCACTCCCTTCGTGGGGAGGATTGAAGGGGAGGGAAGTGAAGCAGGCCCACATCGCAAATGTTCGAATAGTAAAGGCACAATATTACAGTATCAACCTATCAATAAATTTTAACATCTTCATTGGCTTTAAAATGGATTGAAAACAACCCTGGGTTAGTTTAGGCTTTTTGCCGAATTATCATGAAACCATGAAATTGTGTTCACAGTTGAGCTTTAGGGCATCACTGTCAATGTAATGGTTCCCCCATAAGAATGTATTTCTGTTTTATTTCCAAAACTACTTGAAGTAATACTCATATAGTGGAAGATATGTTCCAATATTTCCTCAGTGAAGAGTTCTGATGATATCCTGCCTACTTTTACTCAGGTATATTTTGCATGATTGGTTTGTTGTGTCACTTTGATTTAGAGAGAAAGAGACAGGCAGTAAAAATCGTAGATTGGGTTAAGATTAAGAAGAATAACTAATCTAATTAACAACCTAAAAAGCCACATCAACTTGAAACATTGGCTGCTAAACAATAGCTTCTCATATAAACTAAAATAAGTCTTGGCACCTCAACTATGTAAGAAGCTTCCTTATTTATCTTCTCTATCACAAACCAGTGTTGTCCATGGAGGAGAGTCAGAATCCTGCCATACTGGATGCTTTGTGGCACAATTATAGAGGGTTATGGAGGAAAAATCCACAATATCGGCCAATATTTACCATTGCAATGAGCCTAAAAACCATCACGTATAGCCGCCATAGTGCCACAATTGCGGATATTTGATAACATTAATCACAACGTATAAATTTATTGTATTGGTAAGTTTGGAACAGATTTCATTTTTGGATGAAAAACATTCATTAGCATTTAACTAACTCAAACTGAGCCTAACTCTACAATTTAGATAATCAAGATATAGTTAACCACGCTATTGTCTCACATAAGATCAAAAAAGTTAATTGCAACAACAAACCTACTAACAATCTTAAAAGGCCCAACATAGCACGAATGAACCGCGGCAAGAAAAACTAGGCTCCTTAGGATTCTCATTAGTAGCATTTGGGCAATGGTTTTGATGAATATTATAGAAATCCACTTAGCAGCATAAATTTAGATGTAATTTGTGAATTAAAACTTCCTATACATTGGATATTCCCTTGCAGCAAAAGATCAAAGCCCTCTCTTGTAAAAATAGTTATAACATTCATCCATAATAATGTTTTTTGGATTTCAAAACAATATCCATCCTTAGGTACAACAGATTTAACATTCAATGAAAATACATTATTTTTCCACCTATGGTATGTATGACCATTACACTCAACGTTTTATAATTAGTGGCATGACATGGGAGAATGAAAATCTCTCATTAGATGGTACTGTAAAATTGTTTCACACCATTAGTTTGATCATCAAACTCGTTTAATAATTCCTATAATTTGACTTGGTGTATGTTTGGCTTAAATTTTCAAAGAGGCAAAAGCAATTATAGATGTGTAGAATGGATTTTGAAATGATCTTGAAGTGTTTGGTTTTTCTAAAGTACAATTGATTCTCCCTTCAAAATTGATTCTTCTTAAAGCTAGAATCTTTGACTTTTGAGTTTAAACATGATTTTTACATTGAAATTTGCTTTTCAACTCACTTTTATGAATCACTTTACATTCAACCATAGTCACACAGTTCACAATTCATTTCGGTACATGGTACGAATTCAGGTACGCGGTTCGCATTTCTTAAAGAATAGGTATGTGAGGGGTATACATAGGCAGTACACTATTTCGGTTTGTGGTATGTTCAAATATTGGTAAGTTATTATTAAAAAAATTGTTTACTTATTATGAAAATTGGTTGAGAGAAAGACTTTCATAGTCCCACATCAACTACTTCCATTGTCCCAAGTCGACTATTTTATTAACATTGCTTTGGAAAATCAATTATAAATAGCTAGTGTATACTCACCACTCTTATATCAGCTCACCAAAGCTTTAGTTTTAATTGGTATGGTCATTAATATTCACTTTTATCAAAGTGATACAGACCTTAACATAATTTTAAAAATAGTTTTAAAAAAATTATTTCGAGTTTATTTGACAATTTGCCTCATTTTAAATTTGAAATTTATATTTGGTTCGCAGGTACTTCATTTTACACGAATTCCAGGCGAATTTTGGAATTCGTGCAAACCAATTCGCAAAAGTAAAAAATTCTGGAATTTGTGCGAACCAATTTGCAAAAGTACCGAACCAGTACGCACGAACCAATTTGCGGCTCGTAGCACAATATAATATGTGACTATGCATTCAACTCAATTTTAACCGGAATCAATTCTACAAAATCAATTTACTCAGAATCAATTGTTGTCACCGCATAACCAAACAGACACTTAGCTTCAACAGTAAGAGATACTAGCAGCATATTAACAAACATTGTAAAAGGAACTTAAATAAGAGGGTTCATACCCCAAGCAACTGTGCACTCCTCGCTAGTTGCGCTAGCCTGGTTGGCTTGGCACTCAATGCCTAAAACCAAAAGAGAAACCACCTCAAAAACGAAACAAGAGTAATTGAATAATTTATTTGAAATTTGAATACAAAATAGCAAGCTTACAGAGATCCATGATGTGGTTCCGGCAAATGGCACAGTTATCAACAACGATGTCTTCAACCACAGAAACAAAATCAAATCAATTAGAAGAAAAAAGCGACGGTGAAAATTTTGGGAATTAGGGTTAGGAAAGAAATCGGGAAGAATAAGTTACCCCAAGCCCAGAGAGATACGGCGTTCCACTTTTTGATCTCGAATCGCTTTGGCTTCTTGGAAGAGGGACCGGCGGCACTGCTTGAGGCTTCTCCGGCGGGAACCATCGTCACGTCGGAATCGAGTGTCGCCATGGTTTTTTTTCTCGCAAGTCGGTGTGAAATATCTTGTGCAGTGCTTAGAAAAATATCTATTCTCCAATGTTAAAAAATTAAGTGCTATCTTCTTCTAATTCTTATGTACTAACTACACTGTGTGAACAAACTTTTCAAATGAGATGGGCTAGTGCTTTGTTCGTGGGCCTAAAAATTTGTGTAAAACTTTACTACATACTCCTACAATTATATTTTCACCCTTATAAGTAATAAAAAAAGAAATTAATTTTTATCTTATTCATTATTTTATTTTACTCTACGTAAATACTTGCAAGAAATTTTTTTGAAAATTTATCTACTGCGTAACCAGAAGTAGCTAAGTTTTTCATTGTACAAATTTAATTAAAGTTTAGTTACAATTTAGATTCTTTGAATCAACCATTAAAAGACTAACATGTGGCAGGAAATTTTTTAAACATTTAGTCGGAAAAATTGTGGATAAATTGTGAATTTATTCACTCCAGTTAATGCAACTAATTGCTAAGATGACTTGTAAAACAATATGATTGCTTTCAAATAGGGTTGGCTATGAATTAAATCAATTTGAAAATAGTTTGAAATTTAGTTCAATAACTAATTTATGGAATTTGATTTATGAATTAAATGAGTCGAATTTAAGTTAAAAATTAAGTTCATACAATAAATAAGTTGAACAACTATGGTACTTATCAAAAGTACAAGTGAGCGTGTTCCTCTTACAAGAGTAGAGATACTCAGAAGTCTTAGTAGATTTCTAACACGATATGTTGGTTAGGACTTTTCCACAACAATGAAAAGCTCTGTGCGGTGGTATTTTAAGGTAGTTTAGGAGTCATGCTCATGTGAATTAAAAGGTTCTACAGATAACCGATGACGCTTGGGAGCAAGCGTGTGGTTATGGTCAGACGTGGTTTTATGACTTTAATATGTGTTATACACTTTAGGGGTGTAAAGAATGATCTCCCTTTTTTTTTTAGAAGAATGAGTATTTATAATGATCTCCACTTTTTGTGTGGTTCTGGACTCTGCCACCGCCAGAGGCGATTTCAAGTGAGTGTTAAGAGAGATAGAAGAAAGAGGGAGATTGGGCCGAGGTGTGTTGGAAATGAGGGGAATTTTTTTCCCTCTTTCTGAATTCATTCTTGGGCCATGGATCCAAGGTCCATTGGCCTTTTCCTGTGCGCACCCTTTTAGGGTCCATACATCCCCCTAAATTATGATACAAAAAACAAAATAAACATGGGGATAGGCATCCATGGGCTCAACGCCTTAATTATCATTCACACCCTTTTTTTCTCCACCCTAGCAGAAATTTCTTTTATTTATTGAGTTTGCAATAATTCATTGTTTTTTTTTATCTTTTTAATACATAAATTTAGTGATAATTAGGGATTTAATCTTAGTGAATTTTAGGATTAAATTCCTAAATTAGGATTAAATTTTCTAATTAAGTTTAGGGTAGAATTAATTAGAAAATTAGGGTAATAATATTAATCTTGATTTTTCTTTTTCTTGGTCCTTAATTCATAATTCATGGATAGTATGATTTTGTGAAGTTTACCTTGACCTACAATATTACATGATCCCACATTGTCTTGATTTAATTAATTTATTAAATTTAATTTGGTCGATTAACTGAATTAATGGCTTTAAGATATTATTTAGTTCATCTTTTTAATTAATCAGTTACAAGATCCCATAAGAGTTTATTCAATTAGGGGATTAAAAGTCCCTTAATAATTAGATTGACACTAGGACTTATACCATGTATGATCCCTTAGATCAAATATAAATCTCTCATTCTAAAATCCTAGAACATAGGTAAAATATTTTCATAACAACATTAGGCTTCATCCCCCATTTTCGTTACCCTAATTCTTTTAATCATGACTTTTTCTTTATTCATGTAAAACTAAAGGTTTCTTTTTGCAAATAAACTAAAAATACCTAACAAATACAATGTGAATCGTGTGCCATGAGCCTTAAGAAATGGTAAAGGAATAAGAGGGTGTACTCCTAACCTTATTTAAATATCTTTGGATACAGGACAAATAATCTAGTTGTTCAAAGTATTCATCTTCATTCATAGACTTTAATGCAATTCAAATCAAGGAAATTTTCATAATTAAAGGAAGAAAAGGGAGGAGGATGTAAACTCTCTCTCCCTGAATGTTCAGACACTGTTGTATAGCTTCTTATCTAAATATTCATCTTCAGACTAAAATGAATCACAACCAATATCTAAAATATTCCACAATCAATCTATCTTGGTTCCAATACAACTCCTCTTAGTTTTGACACACATACTTATTATTCTTCCTGTTTGTCTTGTTAATCCCCTAGTTTAGGAAAACTCTTATTCTTCTTCCCAATTGCCTTGTTCATCCCCTAGTTTAGGCAAACCCTCTTACGTCTTTCCATTTGCCTTGTTATCCCTTGGTTAGACAAACTCTTATTCTTCTTCCTGTTTGCCTTGTTAATCTCTAGCTTAGAAAAAAATTTACAATTCTTTATCCTTGGTTCATACACCACCTTTTATAATTCTTTGTCCTCGGTTTAGACACCACGTTTTACAATTTTTTATCCTTGGTTTAGCCGAAACAACAATTTTATTTTATAAAAGAACTGTTATAATTTATTCCTTAGCAGTCAGACTAACAACTTAGAGCATCTGAACCAGGATCAAATAGCTAATGTCAAAATATTTATAGGATACGATTATAACATTGTTCCCTAAAATCAACCAACAAGAGAAAGATGACTTCCGACAAGAGATTTTTCATTTTTTTGAAAAATAGCAAGATTTTTTTTTTTTGCAAGCTAGGTTTAGAATTTCTTTTCAAAACATAAACGATGAGTTAAGGGAAACAAAAGATCTGTTTATCACTACTCATCAAGTGGATGGTGAAATAGTATATAATTGCAATCTTCTTTGGACCAAAGAGGAAAAAAGATATTTTGAAATATATTTCCAAAAGGAGTTATGTTTTTAAATAACAAAATTTTTCACTATGTTCATCTTTGCAAAACCTTCAAGGAAATGCGGGATGCTTTTAAACTGATGTATGGAGATTCTTCAAGTATCAAACAAAAGAATATGAACACACGATGCAAAGAAGATAATTTTGGATGCTCTTTTAAATATACAAGTATTGGAAAGTTTTGCTGGAAAATGTATCACTAACAAATATCTTAGAATAAAGAATTGAAAGTTTAATCCAATTCTTAAATCAATAGATGAGAAAATGTATCACTAACATAATAAACAGTGAGCGGTATCTAGCAACACATCACTGCTACCCAAGTCACGTAAATGTCATGTGATCTGACAAAACATTTTTTGATAATACTTGTGTGTACAATTATCCTTTTTCCCCTATGTCTATATTGATCACAAGGCATATATTGTGTCATCATTGTCCATTTCAATATTGGTCCCTTAGAAATTTATTCAGTTATGCAGGATGGGTGAATTCCATCTAGGTCACTCATGTCCCCTAGCATGCTTTGTGGAGTACCCATCAACTGTCTTTATGGTCATCTAGTTACGGACAATGTTAGATTAGTAATAAAGTACTCGACTCTACATCTAGGGTTCATAGTGCTTTCAGGTTGAAGGGTGGTATACACCACTATCACCATGAGAGTAACTTATGACATTTTGCATAACATTATATGTAGTACTCTCATAGCGAGTCAATCTAGTATAAATATTACTCTTAATATTCATACCATGCTTAATACTTGATAACTCCTTATCCATGATCTATGAGATGTGATCATCAGTCTATCTACATAATAGTCTTAATGCCTTAAGTTTATCCCACTTCACAGTAAAGCTCAACTACGGATACTTTAAGAATAGTGTCCTTATGTTTAATGGGATCTCATGATTAAGTCACACTTGATATTTCATTAAACGAACTAGTTATTCTAGGGACTTTATTATCTTGAAAAAACAAACATAATAGAGAAATGCCTTTTATTATTAATAAATAATTCGATACAAGTACCAAAAGTAACGGCCTCTAGGGATTACACCAACAATCTCTCACTAGCACTAAAGTCAATCAGACATACCCCTAATACCTATAGATCTAGTATGGCCATCATGTTTCTGCTGCGCAAGAGGCTTTGTTAGCAGGTCAGCAATATTTTCAAGTGTAGGTACTCTGCATATCTTCACATCTTCCCGATCTATTATCTCTTGAATGAGGTGATAACGCCTAAGTATGTGTTTGGATCGCTGGTAAGATCTAAGCTACTTAGCTTGTGTTATAGCACCATTGTTATTATAATAGGGATCAATGGGATCCACAATGCTAGGGATTATGCCAAGTTCACTAATGAACTTCTTGATCCAAACAACTTCCTTTGCTGCATTTGAGGCAGCAATGTACTCGGTCTCGGTTGTAGAATCAATAATTGTTTCTTGTTTTGAACTTTTCCATATCACAGCGCCACCATTTAAGCAGAACACATAACTAGATTGCAATCTGAAGTCATCCTTATCTGTCTAGAAGCTAGCATCGTTGTATCCAATTACATCAAGCTCTTCCTGACCTCCATATACCAAGAATGAGTCTTTAGTCCTTCTCAAGTACTTAAGGATATTCTTGACAGCTACCCAATGAGCATCATCGGGATTAGATTGGTACCTTCTCATTACACTTAAAGCATACGAGACATCTAGTCGAGTACATAACATGGCATACATGATAGATCCTATTGCAGATGCATATGGAATCTTATTCATGCGATCCCTTTCTTCCTTAGTTTAAAGGGATTGTGTTTTTGATAGACACGGGCCATGTTGCATAGGTATGAATCCTTTCTTGGAATCATGCATATTAAAGTGTCTCAACACTTTGTTTATGCATGTACCCTGACTTAGGCCATGCAGTTTTTGTGATCTATCTCTATAGATCCTGATTCCTAATATATAGGCTACTTCACCAAGGTCTTTCATTGAAAAGCATTTCCCTAACCAAGTTGTCACT